GGGGCTGGGGATTTAGCTCAGCGGCAAAAGCGCCTGCCTGTCAAGCGCAAGGTCGTGAGTTCGGTTCACGGTACCGGAGAAAAACCAAAAAAAAAAAAAAGAGAGAGAGAGAGAGAGAGAGATTGGCCTATAGTTCTGTTTCAAACCAAAAGCAAAAAGAAAAAAGCTGGGCAGGATGGCACATGCCTGTAATCCCAGCATTCGGGAGGCTGAGGCAGGCGGATCAGTGTGAGTCTGAGGGCAGTTTGGGCTACACAGTGAGACCCTGTCTAAAAAAAAAAAAAAGAAAGAAAGAAAAAATTAAAAATGAATTGTTTTAGCCTGCTTTGTGTTCCTACAACAAAATACCGTAAGCCGGGCACTTTATTTAAAAAAGGAAGTTTGTTTAGCTCATAGCCTTGGAGCTGAAGCCAGAGACCCCACCGGGACCGCATCGCAGCCTGGCTGAGGAGCAGCGGGACGGGCCGTGTGCAGAACCGGCCAGCGAGGGGCATGGAGAACCAGCTCCCCCCACTGCGCATGCCCAGGGCCGCCCAGAGGACCAAAGCTTCCCGCCGCCGGCGTTTGGGGGCCCTCAGCCTCCACCACACCCAGTGCACGGCTGGCCGGCCACGCGCAGCCTGCGGAGAGGTCAGCCGGAAGGCGGCTCTGGGCCGGAGCCCCTGCCTTTCCAACCAGGCCCTGGGAGACGCCAGCCCCCAGCCCCGGATACCCAGCCCTGGTCAGCCAGGGTCACCGTGTCACCAGCCTGCGTCCGTTCGGGTGGGAGGTGGCGGTGGAGCCATCGTGGGGGCCAATCTTCCTGCTGGAAGGGATTCGTCTTCCCCAGCATCTGGCGAGCCAAAGACATTCAGTGATGGAGAACAGACCCAAGATTTGACAGAACTAAAACCTAAAAGCGTAAGAAAGGAGAGCCGCACAAGAGTCACCAGGCACTGAGATGCTGGGGGGCGAAGGAGTTGGCTGTACCAAAGGAAGTGCGAGGTGGATTTGATCGTCCATCGTATATTTCTGGTTTTTGTTTTTGGTGGGTTTTTTTGAGACAGGGTCTCGGTCTGCAGTTCAGGCTGGCCTTGAGCTACTTTGTAGCCCAGGCTGGTCTCAAACTCGCAACCATCCTCAGCCTCCCAGTGCTGAGATTACAGGTGTGTGCCACCATGCCCAGGGATCGTATATTTCTGTATTCATCGTTTTAATTTATTTCCATTCTATTTTGTGGTAGGGATTGAACTCAGGGCTTTGGCAGTGAGCTACATCCCCAGCCCTTTTTAAATTTTGAGACAGGGTTTCTCGCTAAGTCACTAAATTACTCAGGCTAGACTCGAACTTGTGAGCCTCCTGCCTCAGCCCCCCAGAGTGCTGGGGTTGCAGGCCTGGGCCACCACGCCCCGCTCATTTCTCGCCATCCCCCCAGCTCATTGTACCCACTTTTACGTGGGCTTCTGCATTCCTAGCGTTGTGCAACCGGCACCAACATCCCTCCACAGGGTTTCCTCGGCCCAGACCGAGGCGCCATCCCCATGAAACGATCCTCACCGCCCCCTCCCCTGCTAACCATTATTCTACTTCCTAGCTCCACGAATTTGCCTACTCTTAACTCCTTCATAGAACTAGAATAAGAGAGTTTTGTCCTTTTGAGGCTGGCTAATTTTACTTTGTCTAAAGTCATCCAGGTTCCTTCATGTCCTAGTGTGTATCAGGGTTATCCTCCTTTTTGGGGGCTGAATAAGGTTCCACTGTGAGTATATAACACCTACTGCTTATCTGCCTATCAACTGATGGGAGCATCTACCTTCTGGCTATGCTATTTATTTATTTATTTGGTCTTTTTGAGACAGGGTCTCGCTATGCAGTTGAGGCTGGCCTTGAGCTCACTTTGAGGCCCAGGCTGGTCTCAAACTCGCAAAGATCCTTCTGCCTCAGCCTCATTAGTGCTGGGATCACAGGTGTGCACCCCCACACCCAGCTCCGCCCATTTGTTAATTGGGTTGTTGGTTCCTTGGTCTTGGGTTGTAGGAGTTATGTATTCTGAATGCGATCCCTTCTCCATTGTTTGCTTTATGGATATTTTTTATAGGCTCCCCTTTTACTCTGCCTATGGTATCCTTTTTTTTTTTTTTTGTACTGGGAATCAAACTCAGGACCTTGCCCTTGCCAGGCAGGTGCTGTGCCACTGAGCTGTCTCCCTGGCCCTTGTTTGTTTGTTTTTTTGAGAGAGGATCTCACTATGTAGTTTAGGGTGGTCCTGAACTCACAATGTAGCCCAAACTGGTCTTGAACTCGACGACATCCTCCTACCTCAGCCTCCTGAGTGCAGGGATTACAGGTGTGCGCCACCATGTGTAGTGTGGCATCCTTTGATGTAAAAAATGTTTAATTTTGATGAAGCTCAGTTTACCTCCTTTTTTCTTCTGTTGCCTGTGTTTCTGGCATCATGTGGGAGGAGTCATGGGCAGATATGACATCAGAGAGCTTCCCCTCATGCTTTGCTTAGGGAGTTTTATAGCTTTCGCTCTGGCATTTAGGTCTTAGATGCACCTGGAGGGAATTTTGGGGTAGATTTTACTCTGGTGCAGACAAAAATGGTGCGGAGCATGACCTGAAGAGATCCCGGCTCTGCACAGCCCGGGGTGGACCAAGATCAGCTTGTGAGGTAAAGCCAGTGGATTTAGAAAAAGAGAAACTGATCTCTCCTCTGTAACCCTCCGCCCGCCAGCACCTCTACAGTCAAAAAGGGAGAGGAAATCGATGTGACAAAAGACGTGCAGAAGAGAGGCAGTGTTGGTCCTGTGGCCGAAAGGGAAGGACTTGTGTTTACAAGTATCCCTCACCCTGACAACCTGGAGTGAAGGATGCTTGCCATGTAGACCAGCGTGGTGGCGCACGCCTGTGATCCCAGCACTCAGGAGGCTGAGGCAGGAGGATTGCTGCAAGTTCAAGGCCAGACTGGGCTCCACAGTGATTTCAAGGCCAGCCTGCACTATGCAGCAAGACCCTGTCTCCAAAAACAAAACAAAAAAGACTCCTTACCATTCGGGCTGGGTGTATAGCTCAGTGCTAGACAGCTGACCTACCTGTGTGAAGCCCTGGGTTTGGTCCCCAGCATGGGAGAGGGATTCAGCATTCACGGGTCCTAATTCTGCGTCTCTCCTGCCAACAGCGTGGGGTTTGTCTCCAAGGAGCTTCCCCCGAGCAAGCAGGGAGCTGGGTGCGGATGCTGCTGCCGCCCTTATTCGTTAGAGGTCAGTGGGGTTAGGAGGGCAGTCGGGACCGGGAAGGTAAAGGCGGAGCGGGCATGAGGTTCCTTGTGTGTCAGCCCAGGGATGCTGACCTGTCACCAGGAGCAGAGCTGACAAACTCCACAGGGACCAGGCACGGAAGGCAGGGAGCCAACTGGATGTGGGGTTGCTGTGGAGACGGCAGCGACCTGCAGAGCCCCACGCTCCGCCCAAGGGGCAGCTGCTCAGCTCCAGCTGCTGGTCACCTTGTAAGAGCCTTGATCCCGTGTGGCAGATCTCTGTCTATCTCTCTGTCTGTCTGTCTGTGTGTCTCTCTCTCTCTCGTTCTGGGAACCGAATGGAGAAGCGCTGAGCTATGTGGTCAGCTTTTTCCACTGAGAGAGAGGCCAAGTTCACCCTAAGTTGCCCAGGCTGGCCTCAAACTAGTGATCCTCCTGTCTCAGGCTTCTGAGTGGCTGCCGCTGCAGGCGGGCGACGCCATACCTGTTATATCTTTCTAAAAGAGGACAGAAATCAGGTTTCCATAGGACAGTTCCAGATTTTTCAAAACACACTGGCCAAACCAAAGTGGTTTTTGAGCCAGACATGACCCACAAGCCGCCAGCCTGCCATCACGGCAGATCGGAAAGCGGACGTGAGGGCTTTTAAACGGACAAGGGGAAATGATATCTTGTGTGGGGAATGTAATGGGACTGATTTGGGATCCAGCGCTCAGAAAAGGTCAGTTTTAATCAGCATTTGGAAGAAGAAGGCGTTTGCATTCTTTCAATGTGCCTCCCCCAGCTCCTTCCCTAAATTGGGAGCCGAAAGGAAAGGCGTAGGCAGATAGCTAATCTCAAAAGCCAAAGGACAGGAAACTGTAGCAAGAGCTGCAGCTTTTCATGCAGCCTAATTTTACCCGTGATTACTTTAGAGACAGACGTCTTCGGAAGCTCCCACAATCCTCACCCACCTCCACCGAGGAGCCCAGCAATAATTAAAACATAAAGAATACATATCACAGCTGGGCGTGACGGCGCATGCCTGCACCCCTAGCACTCTGGGAGGCTGAGGCAGGAGGGCTGAGCAGGGGGTTGGTGGGGAGCCCATGCAAAGTCCCTAGGTTCAGTTCCCAGGACCACAACAAAAACAAAACACCCACATGCATCACCGCGCTCAGCTCTTTGGAGCGGCCAATGGGAAATTCAGAGCCGAAGCCTCTTTTCAAAAGTCTTAGGCTCTGCTTCCCAGTGAGGGGCGACCTGGTGCCCCAGGAGGCAGACATGAGATGTGAGCTGCAGGTCCATTGCATGCCTTTGCTGTTTATACAGCTGTCACCTGGGCCCCCACAGGATGCAAAGGATAGGGAGGCAGACTGGAGGGAGGGGGGGTGACACCTTCAAAGAACTTTGCTTTTTTTTTCTTTTTTTGAGACAGGGTCTCACTGTGTAGTTTAGATCTCAAACTCACAGCGATCCTCCTGCGTCAGCCTCCTGCATGCTGTCAAAGAACTGTTCTAACACTCAATAGGTATCCCCCTTAGAGCGGCTTTTCCCTGCAGACCGCCCATTTCTTTTCTTTTCTTTCTTTCTTTATTTTCAAGTCACTCTCTGACTTGGATTCATCATCTGACCGAGCTCCCAGTTTCAAGGCTATGCTTTTGGGCTCGGAGCGGCTGCAAGGCTGGGAGCGGCTGCTCTCTGGCACTGCCGGGGCGCCCAGTGGGATGGAGAGAGGTCAGGGCAGTCAGGCAAAGGTTAGGGGAGGAAAGCGACTCCAGGAAATGTTTGTGTTTCTCCACCAGGAGGGAGGACAAACAAGCTTTTTCCTGCCTCTGGGCAGCTTTGCGCACTCTCCGCAGAGCCAGTCTGGAGAGGAAGAGAGAAGCTACAATTATCCGGGGTCCGGGCCCAGCGACGAGCCTCGTTCTCCTCGGGGCCTGGGGCCGCTTCCCGGGAATGAGCGCTTACTCCGAAGCGTGTGCACCTTGGAGCCCGGCGGGCCGCAGGCTGTGGCCCTAGGAGACGCAGGCAGCTTGTGACCCAGGCTCCGCCGAAAGGACCTCCTTGGGACTTTCACTTCCAGGCTGAAGTCTCTCGTGTGGATGCAGCACCCACCCCAGCGTGCCGTGGCCGCAGACAGAGCGCCGAGGCGGGGACGCAGCAGCCGGCCGGGGGACAGAGCCCTCCCATAAGCACCGGCGGCGCGCGGGGACTCCAGCGGCCACTCTGCACGCGGGACGCCTGTGCTGCCTCCGCCATGGACGCGGACAACGAGTCCTGCTGCCTCATCGAGGGGGACCCCATCTCCAAGGTGATGCCGCCGCTGCTCATCCTGGCTTTCGTGCTCGGCGCCCTGGGCAACGGCCTCGCCCTGTGCGGCTTCTGCTTCCACATGAGCGCCTGGAAGCCCAGCACCGTCTACCTTTTCAACCTGGCCGTGGCCGACTTCCTCCTCATGGTCTGCCTGCCCTTCCGCACCGACTACTACCGCCGCCACAGACACTGGGGCTTCGCGGACGTGCCCTGCCGGCTGGTGCTCTTCATGCTGGCCATGAACCGGGCCGGGAGCATCGTGTTCCTGACGGTGGCGGCCGTGGACAGGTACTTCAAGGTGGTCCACCCGCACCACGCGCTCAACGCCATCTCCAACCGCACGGCGGCCGGCGCCGTCTGCGTCCTCTGGACCTTGGTCATCCTGGGGACCCTGTACCTCCTGGTGGAAAGCCACCTGTGCACGCAGGACAAGGCCATCTCCTGCGAGAGCTTCATCATGGAGGCGGCCAACGGCTGGCACGACGTCATGTTCCAGCTGGAGTTCTTCCTGCCCCTGACCGTCATCCTCTTCTGCTCCGTCAGGGTCGTGTGCAGCCTGAAGCGGCGGGAGCGGCTGGCCCGGCAGGCGCGGACGAGGAAGGCGATCCGCTTCATCGTGGTGGTGGCCGCCGTGTTTGTCACCTGCTACCTGCCCAGCGCTCTGGCCCGGCTCTACTTCCTGTGGACCGTGTCCTCCAGTGCGTGCGACCCGGCCGTGCACATGGCCCTGCACGTCACCCTCAGCTTCACCTACCTGAACAGCGTGCTGGACCCCCTCATATACTACTTCGCGAGCCCCTCATTCCCCAAGTTCTACGCCAAGCTCCGAATGTGCAGCTGGAGACCCCGCTGGCCAGGGTGCCCAAAGCCCCGCGGGCCGGAAGAGCTGCCCGCTCTGCGTCTGTGTCCCAAGAGCTGCATCGGCGCGGCCAATAGTTTCCAAAGCCGACTGGACACCCAGTGGGACTTGCAGGTGTGTTGAGTGACCCTAACCCGGGCAGCCGGCGGCGTCAGGCGGGACGGACGGCAGCTGGGGCGCGAACCCATGCCCGTGCACGGGCCCTTGGAAAGGCACCGCCGTCCTCCTGCCTCTGTCGGAACTGAGAGCCACGTCCCCCTACCCTTTTGGAAGGCTGCAGGAGAGCGATGTGAGTTCGCTGCGTTTCTGTGCTCTGACTGCAGGGACAGGGACAGCAGGGAGCGGGGGCTGCGTGTGCTGGGCTGGGGGTGGCTCGGCTCGCGTCACTTTAGGCTGCTGAGGAAACTTGCTCCCTCGGTGAGTTAATGAGCCCAGCGCTCAGCCTTCCTCCTCCTCTGGCTCAGCTCTTACTCACCTCGGGAAGCAGGAGCGGGACTGGGTGCCGGCTTTGCGTTCCGGCTGAGCGGAGCGCTCCTTAGGCTGCGCTGTCTCTGCCGGCTGTCACCGGCTTCTCCGACGCCCCTCTGTTCCTTTGCTCATTTCACTGCCAAAGTTTGGACTCCCAAGGAGCCCGGGAGCCGCAGAGAAACGATCTTGCTTGACCTGGGAGCACCCACGTTTATCTGCAGACCTCTGCATTTCAAAGAAAGTGCTGAAGGGTATGTTTGCCTCCCCTGCTTTCTCCAGGGCAGCAGAGAGCTTGGGAAAAAAAAAAAAAAAAAGAACCCCTGAGGCTTTTGAGATAGGCTAGCTCCACGCTAATTGCTTTTGGGTGCTTGTTCCGTGAGCGTGGACGGGAATCATTCCTTTTCCAAGCACTGACTGACTTCCTCCACAGCTTCGGGCCCGGTCCTTTCTGCCCGCAGGATGCTTGGTCAGCTTTGTGTGACAGCAAAATTTGGGGGGTGGCAGACGTATTAAAAGCCTTCGTCTTTTCGCTGAATAGTCTCTAGACCTGTTGTGTGCAAACTGCAGGGTTTCCCTGTCATCGCGGGACCCCTTCCGCAAGCGTATTTCCCAGACTGCTCCGGAACTCTCAGAACCAGACGGGGCTCCCCCGCCCCGAAGTAAGGGGAAAGGTCCGGGCTGCGCCTGGCTCCGTCCGCCAGCGCGAGGCGGTGAAAGCCGCACTCCAACCCTTACTGCCTGCTCCAGCCCCGGTACTCTCTGCACACACCCACCTCGCCACGCTTTCTTTAGTCTCCAACACCCGCTAGCCTGCCTCTGTCGTTACCTTTTCCGCGCACAGTCCACGAGGAAAAGCGCGGCCCGCGGAAGTGAAGGTCCTCCGAGTCCGAACCCCAGCTCGGCCACTTACTGTGTGTGTGATCTTGGGGCGGATTTGATTGAGCCACTTTCAGTTTCAGTTTCCTCATGTCGGACAGGGGTACCGGTATGACCTCACACATTCTGTGAATGCAGGGTCCTGAAGCTTGAAGGGCTTTGTTTACCATTACGTCCCTGGTGCCTAGAAAAACACCTGCATAGAGTAAGTGCTCATTAAAGACGTGTTGAAGGAATGCAGGAAGAGCGCATGTAAAACCGGAAGCTCTGTGTCTGCAAGTGGTCGATATGACTTATTACAGTAATATATTTCACACATTAAGAAACTGAGGCACAAGGCGGATGCCTGTCAGTGCCACGGCTCTGTAATCCCAGCACTCAGGAGGCTGAGGCAGGAGGATAACAGAGTTCCAGGCCAGCCTGGGCTACATAGTGAGACCCTGTCTCAAAAAAAACAAAAAGAAACAAACATACACAAAGAAAAAGAAAAAAAAAAGAAATTAAAACAAGACAGAATCAAACACACACACTCAGGCACAGAAATGATTTCCTTTGGGGCTCAGAGCCCCTAAGTAGCTGTTTCAGTATCAGGACCCGAATCCCCTTGTCTCCCAGGTGCCCAGGGGGGAGGCCAAGGGTCCTGTGGTCACCTGAGGACCACATGTCCTCCGGATAGAAATCTGCAAAAATCCACCCTTCTGCTTTCAATCTGTTCTTAGTTCCGATTGCTTCCTTGCGCTCCTTTGTTGCTTCATCTTAATAAACACAGGTTTTGAAAGAAAGTGTGTGTCCTGCATGTGACTGTGGCTTACAACACCTCTGCAGCTATGGCCTTCCAGGCAAACATGGCCCTCGAGGTCCCGGTGGACAGAGCCTCCCGCTCCAGCAGCGAGGACGCAAAGGAAGCACAAGCAAAACCTCCAACAGGGTCCTGATGCTCCGTTTGCTTCCCTTTTTATGTTCGCAGAACATGACACAAATCTTTCTTACCAAGAAGCATTTTGGTGGCAAGGAAGAGGAGTGGTGCGTTGGTGTCAGCGCTGCCTTTAAGCTACCTGGAACCAGAAAGGGACTGAGTTAGCAGGAAACGCCTCCCTGTCTCCCTCCCAGGTCTTTTAGAAAAAGTCACAGGAGAGCTGAGGGGGTTCTGGGGCTCATGTGGGAACGAGAACATTTTATTGGTGCTGACGGTGGTCAAAGTTTAAGTGCTGGTCTGTTCTCAGGGTGGTTTTGTTTTGTTTTTGTTTTTGTTTTTAAATCTTTTTGAGACAGGGTCTCACTGTACAGTTCAGGCTGGCCTTGAGCTCACTTTATAGCCCAGGCTGGTCTTGAACTCACAACAATCCTCCTGCCTCAGCCTCCCGAGTGCTGGGATTACAGGCATGCGCCACCACGCCTAGCTTGTTTTTGTTTTTTTGAGGCAGGGTCTCACTAGGTTGCCCAGGTTGATCTCAAACTCACAATGATCCTCCTGGCTCAGCCTCCCCAGTGCTGGGATCACAGGCGTGTGTGCCACCACACCCAGCAGGATGGATTTTTTTTTTTTTTTTTAAAAACCCTTTATTAATCAAAATCTAAAAGGTTAAGAATATGTCTGAAGTCTGCCGCAGGAGCCCGGAGAAGGCTGGATCTCAGGGCAGAGGGTTGCCAGGGTTCACAAGGAGACGGCCGGTGAGGCTGGGGGCGCTACTGTGACGCAAGGTTCCAACTGCCTGTTCCGGGCCCCCTGGGCCACAGCGGGCTCCAGCACCACTCAAGACCCCATCACGAGGAGGCAGAGAGGCTCGCAGGCCCCACGCTGGTGCCTGCAGGCCCGAGGCAAGATGGAAAGGCGAGGGCCCTTCTTGGGAGGCTATGTCGGATTCTGAGAGGGCCTCCGCAGAGCAGGAGCTGTCACACAGCGGGCGGGATTGATTAAATACATAGGCTCCCACATGGGCCGTACCTATGCTCAGCCTCCCATGTGCAGACCTTCCCTGTCTAATGCTGAGTTCTGTTATGCGTGCACGGCCCCCAGTGATCTGTGCTCTGTCTCACCTGTACGTTCCCCGGTGGGACACGGACTGGCTCTGCAACCTGCTTTGACCAACTGGACATGGTGGGAACAATGGCCGGGACTTTCTGTGTCCCAGCGTTAAGCAGGACAGGGCCAAGCAGCCTCCATACAGCGCCCAGCCTCCCCTCAGGGAGAATATGGACAGGAGCTGTGCCCCTCGGTGAGACCACCTAGAAAGGCCAATCAAATAAAGCCATATGGGGGCTGGGGATTTAGCTCAGTGGCACAGCGCCTGCCTGGCAAGCACAAGGTCTTGAGTTCGATTCCCAGTGCCAGAAAAAAAAAAAAAAGCCACATGGAGCCAGGGGTGGTGGTGCACACCTATCATCTCAACTATTCTGGAGGCCAAGACAGGAGGATCACAAGTTCAAGCCCGCCAAGGCAATGCTGTTTCAACATAAATTTTTTTAAAAAGGGCTAGAGTGTAGCTTGGTGCAAAGGCCCTGAGGTCAGTCCCTAGCACCAAGGAAAAGAAGAAAAGAGTCACACAGAAAAGCCACAGAGAGACACAAGATTCTATGAAGCAGGAGAGGAGCTGGTGCCCTGCTTGCCCATCCCTGAGACCCTCAGCTGCCATGGAGGCTGCATGTGAGAGGCATCCAGTTGAGTCCAGACAACCCAAAGGACCATAGCAATGATGCAGCAGTGTTTGTCTCGAGCAGCTAAGGTCTGTGGTGTGTTACACAGAAACGAATAACTAAATCAGGAATCCCAGTTGGTCAAAGACAGGAAGTAGCTAAATACTTAATATTTCTAAAACTCAGTTTTCCAATCTGTGAAATGGGAATGACGACAATAATAGCATCGTTCCCACAAGACTTGAGTGAACATTAAATGCAGCCATACATGGAAATTGCTAGTATAATGCCTGCCACATAGCAAGCAGTTGATAAATGACAGCTGCAGTGTGTGTGTGTGTATGTGTTTCTTAGCATATTCTAGGCAAGACCTTTACCACTGAATTACACCTCCAGTAGCAGTTCAGTATTTAATATATGCAATTTGTGTCATGTACCTATAGTCCCACCTGCTCTGAAGGCTGAAGCAGGAAGATCCCTTAAGCCCAGGGTTCAGCGTCAACCTGGATGAGACAGCAAGACAGCAAGATCCTGTCTCAAAAATATTCAACCTAGTCCTGCGGCACACCTTCAGTCTGTCAGAGAATAACCAAGTGTGGAGATTAAATTCGCTGTGAGTCGCCAGGAGTGGTGGCACATGCCTGTAATCCCAGCACTCGGGAGGCTGAAGCAAGAGGATCGTTGTAAGTTCAAGACCAGCCTGGGCTACAAAGTGAGCTCAAGGCCAGCCTGAACTGCAGAGCGAGACCCTGTCTCAAGAAACCAACAAACGAACAAACCTAACAAAGAAAAAAGAGTAAGATCGATGATAGCCCTTCCCTCACGGACTGGAGTCAGAGGGT